ACAGAGCTGTGATTAACTGCAACAACCCCTTAAAAGGTAGTTTTTTTTCATTTTAAACGTGAACGTTAATCCAACACATGCAAAGTCAAAATATCAAAGTTCAGGACTGTTTCACTCAACCACACTGGGCTGAAAAGTCTATTTACAGGGTGTATTAAATAGGGGCTGACAAAGCTCAGCCCTGAGCCTGGGGATCCCCACACATGTGGGGCAAGGGTTGGAGTCACGGTGTGCAGTGACCAACCTGGTGACCTGAACAGAAGATGGACACAGGAGAGAAATCAACATTTATATGTAAAATCCACAGCACTGACAACCTCCAGGTGCAAAGGTTCATCAATAAAACAAATGGCAGTGATTTCAGCTCATTGATCTAAAAATCTAAAGACAGTTCCATAAATATTTTCCTTCCAGACAAGCGCAGTGTTCACAAGGAAACTTGCAAATGTTGAGAGAAACAGCAATTATTTGTTTCAAATCGCCACCAAAAGCATAACACTTCCTTCCCAGCCCCCAAATTACAGCTGCTGACCCTGTCACAGCTACTTTTGCAATCCTTCACACACTCAAGGGCTGGACCACTCCAAAGAGCTCACCAGGATTAAAAACTGCCAACCATCACTCGAGGAGATGGACCATACAAATGAGATTTCTACCCAGCATTTAAGGCAAAAAAAAAATCACAATCAGGTCAAACACACCATCAGACATTCAACCCAGAGAGGGAGAAGGGACTTATCCGAAATTTATCAGCCATTTTGGGGAGATTTAAAAGAAAAGTTTCAGGCATTACAGCAGCCTGAGTGTGATGGCAGCAAGTTGTTCTTAATCAGGATTCTTCTCTCGGCTGAGGCACAGCTCAATAACCACACAGCCACCTCTGGGCTGTGCTCGCTCCTGCTGTAAATTACCTCATCCATTTGTCATATTTTTAGCACTTTTTTGGGCAGCGCTGCAAGATCTGCAAGAGATGCATTTTAACCTTTGCTAGAGACTACTCAAGGACAGCAGTGGTTTATGAACCCTCGCTGTGTAAAAAAATGTCAGTATTAAATTTCTGCCGCTCAAACCATGGAGCTATTTACTGAAGCTTTCTACAAACTAATTAAATATAAGGCTCTCGTGGGACACGAGGAGAAAGAAAAGGAGAATTAAGAGATAAATCACTGGCTTTTCTTTCCTCAGCAAGTGTACACTCCAATTTAATATATTAAACCAAAAAACACTCTGACAGTCCTCGGTCAGGCACAGATAGGCAGCATCCAAATCTCACATGGAACACACTGCACAGCATAAATTAATTATCTCTGCTTTACCACAACTTGCACAAAGGAATTGGGAGAGACAATCCAGACAAGGGGATGAGCTTGAGATATCAAAGGCTCCATATGGAGACCACAGAATCTCACTTTCCAGCTTCACAGAACTCCCAATCTTTGTGAGCACGTGGCACAGGGAGGTATCAAAGCAGAGCTTCCCTCCCCTGCTGACCCCGGGTCATCTTGTCAGGAGAATTCCTCCCCGCGTGACACGCAGGGTTTTCAGAGCTTCCTCCAAGAGAGAGGCTTCTCCAAATCTCACCAGAAGAGCCCTCTAATAGTGGGGACCTCTCCAAGTGCAGAGGGGACAGCCCCAAAACCAAACACAACGTGGGCTCTCGGCATCATCTGACGGCCAAAGGCTCGAGGTCAGCGCAGGTGTTGAGGAAAATCACCCTGTCTGGGCATCTCTGGGGGTTAATTCCCTTCTGCAGAAGACCAGGTTTGTAGCTCAACCTCCAGGTGCTGGAGACCACGGGATCACTGGATAATCCAGCTTGGGAGGGAGCTCAGGAGGTCACCCAGCCCATACTCTGGTGCTCACTAATAAGGTCAGACCAAGTAGCTCAAGGCTGTGTCCAGCCTGGTTCCAATATTGGCTTCAATATCCTGGAACACATTTCCCAGGAAAGCTGTGGCTGCCCCATCCCTGGAAGTGTCCAAGGCCAGGCTGGACAGGGCTTGGAGCAATCTGGGCTAATAAAACATGTCCCTGCCCATGGCAGGGGGTGGAACTTCAAGATCTTTAAGGTCTTTAAGGTCCTTCCAACCCAAACCATGCCATGACCCTTTGCCCTGTCACCCCCGTGCACCTCTTACAAAAAAAAAAACCCCACCAAGTTCATTCAGCAACAGCAAATCAAAAATTTTGCATAACAATAATCTGTTAACCAAACTATTCTTTAAACAGTTTTTGATTAGCAACTTAAAGACTATTAAATTTTTTAAACAAAGCCCCATCATTCCATTAGCAACCATTTGCAGTGCTTAAGTAGGTGTTTGTGGATTAATGGTTTTAAATGAAGCCTCCAAACACGATTTCCAGCCCAGAGCCAGGACTGAGTGGAGCAGAAAAAAAAAATGCTACAAGTTTCTAAAAACCAGTAAAAAATATCAGAGTTTTCTCATCTGAGAAGCAGATGATACCTCACCCCCACAGCTACTGCTTCATTTCACAACACAAGAGAAAAGACATCAAACAACCTTAATCAGAGATAACACCATTTCCACGCTGTTCCCACCACTTAAGGTCAGAATTTGATGAGGACACCAAAATTCCTCTGGGTGATGTTTGATGATGAGGCTGCACCACACTTGTGGATTTAAGTGTGTCTTTAGCACCATCTCATCCTCCTGCTGGGGTGGAGAAACCAGCACATCCCTGGAATTAGAGGTGAGGGGTCTCACTGCTCCCAGGAGTTTCCCTAAGGAATCACATCACTGTCCAACTCAGAACCAAGGTTTCTGTGAGATGTCAAGTGAGTTTAATGGCAATGTAAAAGGAGCAGATGACTTTCAAAGTCTGCCCTCAAAGTTGACACCTAAAAGCAGAGAGACAACGATCCCTGTGGCCAAAGCTGAGAGGTTCATTCCAGGTGGAGAAGGGAAGCTCCCTCCGTGCTCCCAAAGAAATGAGGGGATGCAGGAGAGGGTTGTCACAGGATTATCACGTGTGGTTTTGAGCTGTTGGGTCCATCCAAGCCTCCCTCTCAAGGAAGAGCAGGAGATGGATTAGCACCTCCTGGAATCCCCGTGCGGGGAAAGCTGAACTGTGAGAGGGATGAACATCCCCAGACAAACTCCTCGCTGCCCTCAACACCAATTCCGGAAGGAAACCCCCTTCTCCTGGCTCCTCCTGATCCATTTACATACTTCCAGCCTTCTTAACCTCAGGAGTTCAAAGGAGGGACGTTTTATAAGGCAAAAAGCAAAAAAATTCACGTGCCACCACTCCATGTGATCACTTTTGGGATCACATTTACAGGTCTCTGTGTTGGCACCTCCACAGATGAGATGAGCTCTGGCAGCAACACTCTGCACAGGGGGAAGGCTCATTCCCATTTTCCCCATTTTCCTGGCCTCTTGTTTGAAAAGGAAGGGAAAATTTCCAATTCATGAAAGCACTGAGAGGTGAGAAGATGCGCTTCGCTTAATTCTAAAGCCTCGTTTCTCGTCATTCCCAAATATTGTGACTACAGGGCTTGGATCCATCACACACACTTTGATGGGGTAAATAATGAAAGAACACACAAGCCTCTAATTTCACACTGCCTTCAATTCCCATTTCCAAAGACAGCTAGAAAACAGGAATAGAAACTAAACCAGTAAAAAAGAAACACGCCCTTCTCCATTTCTAACTTGGAGAACATAAGAATTAAAAAAAAAAAATAATCAAAATAAACTCTTACACAGCTTTATATTTGCTCAGATAAGCATTTTCAACAGAAATGTCCAAGTTGCTTCTAGGTACAGGGCACTGGGGTCAGTGTAGGACATGCCTTGGAGGACAACATGTTTTAATGATTTGCAACCAATGAGCAGCCCCCCCCCCAAGCAGGAAAAAATAACCCAGCACCTAATTGCAAAACAATATTTTAATTGTCAGCTTTAATTTAGGTTTCCTACTCAGATTTAAATCTTCTTTTTTTTTTTTTTTTGCCAAATTGCATTGATTTAACTCAATCAGCCCTGCCCGAAGGCCATCTTTCCTGCAAGCTCTGAGCATACCAAGCAAGTTTTAGCCAATTAGATAAATCACTGAATCTCATAACTTCCTAACAGCAATACATCAAGCCGTGCACGAGCCATAATTAATTTTTTAAATACATATTATCTTGAAATTAAGCAGCTCGGGAGGCATTTCACCATCCTTTATGTTATGGGCTTTTTTTTTTTTTTTTTTTTTAACCTAAGGCACATGATGGCCTGAAACCCAGCCAGCTGAATTCTGCAGAAGACTTGCACGGTCACTGCAAATCCACCTCTGTTTGTAATTCCTCAGGATGATGGGGATAACACTGATGCATCAGTTTTATTCATTTATATACGTGTGTGTGTGTGTATATATATATATATATGTGTGTGTGTACACCCACACCCACACACTGCAGCCTTAAGGTGTTACACTCATGAGCACAGTCAGGAAAACCAGGCAGCAATATTATGGACTCAGCAGGAGCAAAATCCTGAAAAATGGAAGTTTCCAGCACAAACAGCTTCAAGGGGACCCTCAGCACAGTCCCCATTACCACCAGTGGAAATATGCTCTTCTGACACTACACAGATTGTTGAAAGATTCCCATGACAGGCAGAGGATTAAAAAGCAATTCCCCGGCTCTCGTATTTCACATGCAAAGCCGTATTTCAGAACGGGCAGGCAGGAAAATACACGGATCTCTCCCAACTCAAAAATGTGTGTATTCCGTTAAAAAAAAAAAAAAAAAAAAAAGCCCTCGCTGTGACACCTTAAAACGGCAACACCAAAGCAGGAACTACCCCATGGGGACGAGGAGCAGCGCTGCAAACCCGATCCAGCATTGTATTACGAAAAAGCCCTGCGAATTCCAGGCAATCTGCAAATGATTTCCCCCCCCTTCCCCACCCAAACATCCACTGCAAACTCCTACAACCGCGACTCAGGATTGCAGCAGCCAAAGGGATGGAAATAAAACCGTTCCTTACCTTTAACTTGAGTGTCATACTCGGCTATGATCTCCTTATCCTTTTTGAATTTTGCTGGCGACGTCATGTTTTCTTTTCCAAAAAAGCTTCACCTCCAAAAGAGATCCCCCCCAAGAACGCGAGATATAAAGGGCAATTTCACTCCTCTCCACGAGACGCCTCGATTTTCTGCTCGTCCTTCCCCCCTCCCCACCCAAAAAAAAAAAAAAAAAAAGGGGGGGAAAAAAAAATCAAAAAAATCAGTCCATGGAGAGAGGGTGTGAGAGGGAGCACAGCAGCAGGAAAATGCAGATGTTGAGATCAGCGGATGGAAGAGGCAGCAGTTTTGTCTCCCTGCACCAAATCCTTGAGCAGCAGCATCAGCCTAGTGAGATCCTGCAGCCCCCAAAGGCTCTTCCTGATCCTTAACAGCACAGCCAGGGAGTGGAAGTCCTTCCGCACAACATGTTTTGTGTGGGTTTGGTTTGCCTTTTCTCTCTCCTTTTTTTTTTTTTCTTCTTTAATTTATTTATTTATTTATTTTTCCTAATGGGCTCGGGAGATGATGCAAATCAAACCCCAACTGAGAGCAGAAGCGGAGGACGAGAAGCCTCTTCCTTTGGTGTTTGCTCGCCTGCAAATGGAAAAGAAAACAAAAATAAAACTAAATATACATAAATATATATATATATAGTTAAAAAATTGCGGCTTGCAGATGAAATCTACGATGGGAAGAAACGCTGCCCTGCCACCCTGACATTGCAAATCGTCCTTTGAGCAGCAGCAGCAGCAGCGTGGGGTTCCAACTGCAGCCCCGCCAGGTGACCCAGGGAACACACCCACCCCGGGGCTGGGCCGGGGACAGGGTCCCAGGGGAGCGGGGGCTGATCAGGGGATGGTTTGGGGAGAGGGAGCTCCTTAGGGGAGCGGGGGCTGCTTTGGGGTGCAGGTCCCGGGGGTGCGGCTGGTTTTGGGAGCTCCTTGGGAAGCGGGTCCCCCTTTTGGGAAGCGAGTCCCGGGGGGCGAGTGGGAGCTCCTTGGGGGAGCAGGGGCTGGTTCGGGGTGCGGGGAGCGGCTCCCGGGGGTGCGGGGGGTCCTTTGGGAACCGGGAGCTGGTTTGGGAAGCGGGGTCTGTTTGGGGAGCAGGTCCCCCTTTGGGAAGCGGGGGCTGGTTTGGGGTGCAGGTACCGGGACAGCGGGGGCGCCTTTGGGGTGCGAGCCCCCCTTGGCAAGCGGGTCCCGGGGGGGCTCCTTTGGGAGCGGGTCCCGGGAAGCGAGGACTCCTTTGCGGTCCCCTGGGACGCGGCTCCCGGGGCTGCGGGAGGCGGGCGGGACCCGCAGCATCGCCCGCCCCGCCCCGGCGGAGCCCCGGAGCCCCCGCACACCGGGCGGCTCCACCCGCAGCTTCTCCCTCCGGTTTTTTTTTTTTTTTTTTTTCCTCTCCTTGTTTTTTTTGGGGGGGGGGGGGGGGAGAAGGGAGGGCGCGAGCCCTCCGCGGAAGATGCGCGTACGGGGAGGAAGAAATAAATAAACACACGGCACCCGCCGGATCCGCATCCCGCCCGGGAAGAACAATGAGGGCGGCGGGGAGAGAGGAAGCGTGGGGGGGTCCCGGGGCTGGGGGGGGGGGGGGGGGGGGGGGAAAAGGGGCCGGGGCTGGGGGGACGCGGGGGCAGGGGGGGGGCTGCCCGCTGCTCGCCGCCCCGCCGGGGAGGTGGTAGAGGAGGGTCGGGGGTCGGGCGGCCGGGCGGGGCCGTTACCTGGGCGCTGCGGAGCCGCCTCCCGCAGCCGGGGCGTCCTCCGGCCGCTGAGCGCCCGCCGCCCGGGCCCCCGCACCGGCCCGCCGCCGCCCCGCCCCCCCGCGCGCCTCGGCCAATCGGCGCGCCGCGCTGGGCGTGACCGACGCGCGCTTCCACCAATCGAATGTCCCCGCCTCCCAGATAGGCCCGCCCCCTCTTCCCGCCCCGCCGGCGGCCCCGCCCTGAAGAGTAGTAAGGGCGGGGCGCGCCGCAAGGAGTGACAGGCGGCCTGGCCAATGGGAGTGAGGCACGGCGCGCCCGCCCGCCAATAGCCGCGCGAAGGGGGTGGGGCCACCCGATTTTTTCAATGGAGGGTGGGCGTGGCCTCCCGCGGCCAATGGGAGGGCGAGGTCGGGAATTCAAACTGACAGGTGGGAGCGTGGCCGTTGGAGGCGCCGGCACCGGGATCGATATCGGGATATCGGGACATCGGGACATCGGGACGGGCATCCCACCCGCCATGACCTCCAGCGCCTGCACGTTCGAGGACCGGAGCGTGGCCGTGCTGTGCTGCCGGTTCTGCCGGCAGGTGCTGAGCTCCCGCGGGATGCGGGCGGTGCTGCTGGCGGACACCGACACCGACCTCTACTCCACCGACATCCCGCCCTCTGGGTAAGCACAGGGCACAGGGGGGGTCCCTCCGGAGAGGGATCGGCGCTGGCAGTGCCGGGATTCAGCCTGACCCAGCTAAGCGGGGTCAGGAGCTGCAGGAGCATCACCGCGGCTCCAGCACTTAAAAACTTGCTGTCGCCAGCAAAACAGCCCCACAGGACGCAGTTCAGCCCATCCCTCTATTTCCAGTCCCACCCGGCTCTCCTTCAGCCCTGCAGAAACCATGGGATGGCAAGAGCAAGGCTGTCCCCGCCACCCCCTCCAAATTTGATTCGTTCAAGGGGATGACACAGTCTCAGGAGCTCCTCTAACTCCTTGCAGAAGCAGAGATTAGAATTTGAAATAAAGGCCTGCAAACAGAACAAACCTGATCTGTCACTGCTCCCAGAAGGGCTCTCCCCCAAAGTCGGTTTGTGTGCTGCTTTCCCATAGCAAGATTTGAATACTAAGGAAATCAGGTTGTGAAATGACATGGTAATCAGAAAGTATGGGTTGAAAAGGAGATAAGAAATCAAAGGTTTGGTTTTAAATGTCCCAGCCTTTAAGGGATTGCTCTGTATCTTAGCTGGGATTTGCCAGGAACTCGGGTGATGTTTGGAACCAGGTTTCTGACTGTCAGTGCCACCCAGCCCCAGCCTGCAAGTCTCTACCAAGAGAAACTCTGCTTTTTGAGCTATTTTGAGAGGACTTGTGATATTAATGCAATGTCACGTGGGTCTCTTCTTGTTTCCATATGAGTGTGGCTGGCAGTCTGTAGGAAAATATAACCTTGTGGTCTTGGAGTGCTTTAAAACCAGACTGTGACCAGCAGCAGCATCACTTTGTTGTGACTTCAGACCTGTGTTGTTAAAACATTACAGTTGTGATCACGGCCACATCTAAACTCCTGTGTCTTTCCTTCCTTCCCAACCAGGACTGTTGATTTCATAGGAAGCTGCTATTTCACGGAAATCTGCAAATGCAAACTGAAGAACATCGCGTGTTTGAAGTGGTGAGAGCACAGCCCGTGACCCCGACACTCCAAAATACTGCTTAACCTCCTCCCTGTCGACTCCTGCAGTGCAAGGGTTAAGGGATGAATGAACAGATTGCATTCTCTGTCACAGATTTAATGCTGCTTGATAGAAACTCAACCCACCACTCCTGGGCATGGCTGCCAGTCTATTTTCTGTGCAAGTCCCCAGTGAAAATGTGACAACCTTGTCAGGAGTCTGAGTCTATGGGAAAGCTTGTGTGCCACCTGCCTGATTAAATGTCTGCTTCAACACTGAGATAACTGTGTGAATAAGGCCCCAGTAAGAAGCAGTTACTCATATTCTAATTAATAGAACATCCTCTTGGCAGATCGAGTTGTTGCGAGCAGATGGAACATGCTGTCGCTAAAGTTCTTGGAGTTCTTTTATCCTCCTTATTAGTATCTGATATTTAAGAGTAAAAACAACAACTCTCAAATAGCTCACAGTCATTTGAGATGATCCCTTCAGCTTCCTAATCAAGACTTTTACCTTGTTCAGCTTTAAACAGTCGGGGGGGGTTGTGATAGAAACACAATATTTTAGTTTTTAGGGAGAAGCAGAGAAACAGAAATATCTCACCAGAGCACGTGAAAGTAGAAAAGTGGTTGTTCTGGGTTTTAATTGAGGAAAGTTGATAAGGCTTCAATATTCTGGCACAGGTTGCCCAGAGAAGCTGTGGCTGCCCCATCCCTGGAAGTGTCCAAGGCCAGGTTGGATAAACTTGGAGCAACCTGGGTTAGTGGAAGGTGTCCCTTGCCCATGGCAGGGGGTGGAACTGGATGGTCTTTAAGGTTCTTCCAACCCAAACCATTCCATGGTTCTCAGTCTCATTATTCCTACCACTGATTCTCTCCTGTGCACGGGGCTCCTGCACAGGTGGGGTTTGTGTGTGATGAACTTCTGTGCCACAGGTCTGCCAAAAAAAAAAAATACACCAGCATTTGTTGGTATGTAAACTAATCTGGATTACACAATTTAGGTTACTAATGGTTCTCTATGCCAAAGATCTGAAACTCAGATATTCTGTAACTCCTGACAGATGTTCCCTAAATATTTAAGATGCTTGTTTAACTACGTTCCCTTAACTTAATCAAAATAGGAGCATTACATAATGGTCTGGTACCGTGGCTATTTAACATTAGTTTGGGCTGGAGAAAGCCACCAACATCTGTCTTCTCATCAGGCACTTGTGTTGCTCATTATTTCACTTGCCTTTCCAGTGGTAACGTTGTTGGTTACCATGTGATTTCTCCCTGCAAACCTTGCCTGTTGTCCTGCAACAATGGTCACTTCTGGATGTTCCACAGCCAAGCAGTCATTGGCATCAACAGGCTCGACCCTTCTGGTAAATTTATTTCCTTCTCTTCCCTAAAAATCTCAAATTCCCGATTCTAACGAGGCAGCTCAATATAGTCCAAGCATATGGAGGGAGGGGAACATATGGAGGCACAAGGAAGTGTTGCTGCACTGCTAATCTGGAAAACTGCTCGGGAGGGGGGGGAAGAGGGAGGGTGGTTGGAGCTGTAAATGAAAATCTGAGTGTAAATTGATCTCCATCAGAAAACTTTAACCTCCCCCTTCTGCGGCCACAAGTCGGGGTTTTCTGCAGCAATCCTGCAAACCCAGCTATTTACAGGGGCATGTGTGGCTTTCCTGGGCTCTCAGGCAGCTGGCCAAGGGACACTCTTTTTTTGGGTGAGTCATGTTGTCACTTTGACCCTCTCCCATCGAATCCTCGTCAAGCTGAAGTTTGCAGCTTCTTCAGCTGGGTGTTGGTGGGATGCCAAGAGTCTGGCAGGGTTGGAGTCCTCAGGAATCCACAGCCCCCCTGAAAAATCACTTCTGCTCCTCACAGACTGGCTGCCTGAACCTCTCAGTGTCACCTGGGTCTCAGAGCAGGGATTTTAAAAATAAATCAGCCACGAGGTGGGGGGGGGTTATCAATAGCTCTATGAATTAGTTATAGAAACAAGCTTCAGTGGGTTTATTCTTTGAATTGTGATGTAAACAGCAACAGCACTTGCAAGATCACTCGGAAGAAAAATAGAAAAGGGATATATTTATCAGGGACGTGACTTAGCAGGTTTTGCAATGGTTATTTTCTCTCAAAACAGACAGTAGTGCAACTTAAAATTAAGGTCACAATCCAAAAATATCTCTTTCCCCCCCCCCTTATTCTCCTTACCTCCTTCCCACCAGGTGTGAATGTATTGCTCTGGGGCAACTTGCCAGATTTGGAGGAAAGTACAGATGAAGATCCATCCTGTACCTCTGAGGAGGAGTACATCAGATAAATGGGATTATCTACAGCCTCTTCCCTGGATTTGTTGCTGTTTGGTTTGGATTTTTTTTTTTCCTGACAGCCCATCAGAGCTCAAACAATGGAAAAAAACCAAACAACCAGGAAATCTGGAAAACCATCCTAAAAAAGGAAAGCATCTTCCTCTTTCACTGCAGCCTTCCTTGGACTCTTGAATCTTCCCAAACTTCTGAGTAGAGATCCTCCTGGGTTAGATCTGGAAATGCAAACAGAAGGTGCATTTACTGAGGTCTAGGTCTGTTTTGCTTTTTATACTTTGAAGCCTCAACAGCTTCTTAACTGTGTTTTTTTTCTTCTTTCCTAAAGCACTTTTCACTGAGCAAAATCTTTCAGCTGCTTTCAGCTTCAAACTCTTTGAGAAATAATCAGTCTGGTTGATGGGGCTCTGACAGACACTTCCCATCTTTACCTGGCAGTACTTTCAGGATCTTGTCTCCATAGAGATCATATTTTTTCCCCCCTTAAATTCTGCAGTTCCTTAATGTCTGACAGACCTTGGAGGCTACACTGGGGTTTTTCTTCAGGTCAACAGCAAAAACCATCCAGTTTTATATGTTATTTTTTTTCCCTTTATAGGGTAGGCATCCCTCCAAAACACAACTCAGCCGTGCAACTGGGTCTTTTTAGAGAAAGAAAAAGAGATCAGGTGAAATATTGGGTGTTCAGGCCTAACTTTACATCCTGAGGCATAAAGGCCATCTGGTTCCTCCAAGTAATGAATTCAAAGCTCATTTTCTGAGTGGTTACAACTGTAGTATTTAACTTCTGACTAAGTACTGTCCCCTTCAGCTACTCACCTGAAGGGTCACCAGTAGAAAATCCAAGATAAAATCATATAAGAGAACACTTTAAAATTTGGATTGATGCTGAATAAATTATTCTGTAGCCTCTTGTGATACTTGAAAGGGGTGCAATAAAGACAGATCTGAATTGTCTTGGTATTTTTACTGCATGTTATGTATTTCTTAATTAACGGTACTACCTCTTCTGCATTGTTTAAATGTATATTGGTATATATATATATGTATATGTATGTCTTGTTTTGAATTCCTCTGTTAGTCTGCTCATGAAATAAAAGCTTTGGACTAGAGAGTCTTCAGGGCTGTAATAAATATGGATGTGTAATGACATCAGACAATCCAAACAGTGAAATGGCATCTTGTATTAAAATAGTAGAATAATTACATTTTCACTATTATAATTATGTTTTAGACAACCTCAAAAAAAAAATCACTTTCTTTTTAGGTTGACAAAGCTGACAGTTTCTCAGCCTTAGTGAGTTAACCCTTCTGCAATTCAATATTCAAATTTTTGCCAGGTTTCTGTGCTGCATGAACCTGATCACGATGTGACTACAGTATTAAGCTGGCAAGGTGACACCTCAAAGATTTTTTTTTCCAACAGAATTCGTGAGCTAAAAATACCTCTGATTGTTTTTTGCATGAGTAACACCACAGTTCGAATACAATCCTGCCTTATTGCCAGTTCAACACTTGTCATTTATAACCTTCCTAATTCCCAGCTAACTCGGTGTCAGGGCAGAGCTACCCTCCCACAGGGAAGCAAAGGACTGTAATTTCTTCCCATCAAGTCCATAATTCTGTTTTTGCTCCCCCTCTGCACACAAAGAACTGTAAGTTCTACTGTGAACTACTTTAATTACACAGGCCTGTTTGAGCGAGCTTGGAATTAAAAGTGAGCCAACTTTTAAGTGAGTTCAGTCCGTTTTTTGTTGACAGTGAAGCTGTAGGTGTTAAATACAAAGTAAGCAAACATCCCCTGTTGTCCCTCTGTGGTGAATGTCACCAAACAAACTGATCATGTCTGGGGCCACTTCTTTCTATCTGAAATTAAAGAGAGAACTGAGTAAGCAGTTCATGGGAAAGCCACAGCAGCTTATTCACAGAGCCCTGATGTTTGGGGTTAGGTTTCCAAGGATCACCCTGTGCAGGGAGATGTTTAACCAGATCTAACACCAGGCAACCAGCACAAAAATAGATCAATATTTCTAGAAACGCTCCCAAGCACTTCAAACCACCCAAAGCTGCATTTGAAATAAAACAACTCAGGTCTCTCCTGTGTTTTCTCTCTATTCTTTGGACACACAAGATCTCTGTGTTGTAGCACAACCCCAAAACCTGAAAGTGATGGTTGCAAATCCTCTGGTATCATAATAGAGCAAGACAGATAATGCCCAGGATGGATTTATCAGCAGGATTCAACTTCCTGATAGATCTGTGGTCAGGCTGATCCAGGAGAAGCTGGGCAGCTCTTTTTCCTCCTGGTGAGGATTTCACAGGGAAATTTTACGTGATCTTTGCTGTGCAGCCACTGGAGTCACAAGGCTGAAAAACAAGAACTGAGTCCTAAGGCTTTTCCTTCTGCTCATCAAGGTACCCAAGGCAAGTAATTAAAGAACTTTAGTGTCTCTAATCAGATCTGGGTTTACTTAGAAGGGACTGAACACCAGGCAAAAGGTCTTAAATTTGAGACTCCGAGTCAGCTCTTCTGCAAGACTCCAAACTTTCCTGGCACTCAGATCACTCCCTGGAGCTGATCCCTCCAGCCTCAGTGCCCAAGGATTGGATCTGCCATTCCAAATCCCAGACCTGATCCCAGATGTTGTGTAATGCAGACTTGTAGGTTCAGGGTCACAGGCATTGAGAGTGGAATCCCAAAAGCCACTGAGAAAAAAAAGAACTTTGATTTGATTTTTAAGTCGCAGGGAGCCGTGTAATCACTCTGTTATTGATGGCCACCCCTTTTTTTTTTCCCTGCAATGCACAATATTAGCTGGAGGGATAGGGAAAAGCCATAGCAAGACAGTGATAAATTGATACCCCTCCACATTAAATAAGACTTACTAGAAAAAAAGGCACATTTAAATATTCCTCCTCATTCCAGTGCAGCCTAATCACAACCTTACATTTATGTAACACTGTTCATCCCAAAGTGCTCTCCAGTGACAAATTCTTTAGGAATTCTTTTAGGAATTCTTTTCCCACTGAACTGCAGCCAAGTCCAGGGTGCAGAGCAGCTGCCAGGCAGGCAGTGAGAGAGGCAGGACCATGGGGAGCATCATCCTGGAATGAAACTGGAATGTGATCCCCATCAGGACAAACCCATACCTTGATTACCCAGGGAGGCTCCACTTGAAAGACACTTTTCTTCCCCAGCCTGGAATGCAGCTCATCCACCTCCAGCAGGTGACAGATGGGTCACCCCTCCTGGGACAGAACCCAGGCTTTGAATCCGAGGAAGAGTCCTATGACAAGAGGCAGAAATTACTGAGCTCCCTCTTATCCTCTGCTCTTCTCCCCAGCACACTTTTGAAAGTGAAGTTAAAGGGTCATTTATTATAAAGCACCCAATTACTTCGGCAGGAGAGGTCATTGTTCCATATTTTATTATGTTTGCAGTCTGTGTGGTTTCTGAAAGCATATCCCAAGGAACAGCCAAGTAAACAACCTTTGTGTGCTATTATTTGGATTAAGGGAGTGTCTACAGGCCAGGGTAGTGCAACCACCACGGGGCTATTGTGCAAGAAACTGGGAGCACAGAGACTCAGAGGAGCTGCTGGGAAAACAAGGCAGCCAAGGGGGGTAAGGAAAGGTACCACTGTCAGAGATCAGAGGTAAAGCCTGAAGAGGAGACTCCTTAATTCCAAGACTACAAGAGACACCAAGCCAGGCCTGTTCCTGCAGCTATGGATCACTTCTTCCTATTCCAACAGGAATTTGCAAGCCTGTGAATAGTCAACTCTTGCACAGGCTCCATCATACAATCACAGAATGGTTTGGGTTGGAAGGGAACTTAAAGATCATCTCATTCCAACCCCATCATCTCATACCTAAAAGGAGCCTTCTCTGTGCCAGGGCTCCTGGATTTCTGCTACATTATTAGGTTTTTCTCTTGCTTTAGCATGCACAAAGCACATAGCCTCTGGTCAAATACCTATAAAAAGCCTCCAAAGAAAACAGGTTGTTCCAAACCTGTGCAGATGCAGCACTCACAGAGCAGAGATGTGCTCTTCAATCCATGCAGGGCACAGGAAAACCAGCAGAGAGCCAAGCAGGCTGCCTGCCTTGAACATCCCCAGTGGAATTAACTCCAAGTTGCTGATGCACCACCCCCAACATTCCCTCTTCTCAAGAGGAATCATCAGCCATGCTGTTCTCCCAACAAGCATCAGCATTCCCAAGCAGCCAGGGGGACATTTCAGCTGCTTTGCCTGTGTGACACTGTCGTAGTTTGAGATCCCCCAAAAATCCCATTTCCAAGTCCAAGCCGCCCCTCCCACAATTTGTTGCAGTGTGAGAGGTTTTTCCAGACATAACACAAGACTCAATATGGGGGAAAGGGAGTTATATTACAACTATTACACAAATAAATACTATAATTCATTATATACACAATTCTAACTATCTCTCCTGTAGTAAAGCAATATTTACATTAGATCAAGTCCCTCCTTTCCCTCCAATGGGAAGAAGGAAAGATCCTTTCCACTTTCAGGGCAGCAGTGTCTCTCCTCTTCAAAGGAGCAGTTGTAGCTGGAATATCTCTCTCTCTTTTTCTCTCTCTCTCTCCATTACAGACCAAGTGAGCTGCACTCAAATGAGTTCTCATTAGAAAGCAGGGCTCCTATTTTGGAAAAAAAAACCAACTGGGAGCAAAGCTGGTCAAATAGAAGCCCAACAAAATCCCTGGTGCTTCGCTCCTCGTGTCATCTGAGCACTGACAGCTCGATGTCTGTGGGTGATGCCACACGAGGGAAAGCAGCCCCACGGCTCTCCCTGGCACTGCCATCTGCATGGCAGCGTGGGGAGAAGCTTGTGCAGGCACAGGGAAAGCCAAACTGGTAAAAAAAGACTCGATCTCCTGCGTTTCTCTGACTTACACTTATTTCCTGCGGGAAAGTGCTAATTAAAAATAACCCGGGGCTGCTCCACCGTGGGTGCAGCCACACTGGGATCCTTCCCTGCTGTGCCACGGCAGAAGCTGATTAGTTCATCCCACTCCAGCATATGGCCTGCTTTGGAAGGGGAAATTTCCACTAACACTTGAAATACAGGTGCTTTGGGACTCTCGTCCTGATTTCCCCACTGGTCCTGTGTCCACTGGGCACATCCAACAGTTCCTCACACAAAAGCAAGCGAACAGGAATTAAATTGAAGAGAAATTCACCCGATTTTGCCTCGTCATCTGTCTGCCTCTCAGTGCCAACAGGCTGCCCAGGGAGAAAAGGGGTTTCCAGGACCAAAGGACAACAAGAATACAAAGCTCACACCCCCCTTTGCCTCGACTGTTCGGAGGTTTTGCCAGTAGCATTTCCTTTGTCGCCAATTTATTTGCCTTCATTTTGAAAAGTATAAGGAGATATTTGATTCTGAGGCTTCAGCAAGAACAGATCTGGTCTGTGATTCCCACTGTGCTTTGCAGAACACTCCCAGAAAGCTTCTTCAGCCGACGCTGGCAAGGGAAGAGCGAGAGGCGAATGTGCCTCAAGCTGCCTCGGATGTGAGGAGTGCCAGGAGTGCCAGGAGTGCCAGGAGTGCCAGGGACCCTTGGCCCACATTGAAAACACAGCAGGTGAAGCTGAAGACCCCCCCAAAAAAAAGAAGACAACAGAGGTGGGATCTATGCCCCAACCAGGACTAAGAATGCACCTCCAAAATTGGTGTAACGAAGCAAAA